GAGGCTGCGGGGCGGGAGCATCTCTGTGCCAGGACAGGCTGAGAGCCCTGGGGCTGCTGAGCTGGAGCAGAGAAGCCTCAGAGGGGATCTGAGCAGTGCTGAGCAAGAGCTAAAGGGCCCCGGGGGGCAAGAGGCTGGGGCCAGACTCTGCTCAGTGGTGCCCAGGGACAGGCCAAGGGGCAACGGGCACCAACTGGAACCCAGGAGGTGCCACCTGAGCAGGAGGAGAAACTTCTTTGGGGGGAGGGTGGCCGAGCCTGGAGCAGCTGCCCAGAGAGGCTGTGGAGTCTCCAAACTGGAGAGATCCCAAACTGGGCTGGGCACCACCCTGGGCACCCTGCTGTGGGTGAGCTGCTGGAGCAGGGGGGGTTGGATGAGATGAGATGACCCCCTGAGGTCACTTCCAACCCCACCGTGCTGGAATTTTGGGAGTGTCAAGACCCCAAAGGCCAACGGGCTTTGACAAGGAGCTCTCTTCAAGCACCTCTCACAGCTCAGGAGACCCTGGCCAGAGATCTGAGCTGCTCAGTGCCTGGTTTGTGTGCAGTCAGCTGGGTCTGTCCACGTCACTGTGTCCCCTCAGTGTGTGTGTGTGTGAAGGTGTTATTGGAAAAGAAAATATACACACCGGTTGTAAGCGTTAGTTGCAATCCCTTCTTCACTATAACGGGTCATATTCTACAAGGAAACTTCCTCATCCAGACACAGGCACTCCTTGGAAAACCTACAAGTTCAAGAGAAAGGACTTGCCCATAGTATAAAGGGTGTAAACTGGCACGTTTTAGTTCCTGAAACTTCCCAAGCCACGACCTTCCCCCGCAGGAGTTCAGGGAGGGCGGCGCTGCCCGGCCAGGCAGCCTGCTGAAGGTGGCCAAGGTGGCCAGGGAGCAGCATCTCCACTTGCCCACGTTGGCAAGGGGCAAAGTCACCTCCAAACCCTGAGTTGGTCTTGGGGGAGTCAAGCCCCTGAGCAAGGCCGTGATCTGAGAAGCTCTGAGAGCACCTGGAGCTCCAGCGGGGTCAGGAGAGGTCCTGGAGCAGCTCCAGGAGGGGGAATTCTGGAGAGGAGAGTGGAGTGGGGAGGTGGGATGCCTGTCTCCAAGCCAAGAGAAGAGGATTGTCTACTTTGGGGTGTCCCAGCCCTGCTTCTGGGTCACTGGGCCACAACACCAGCCCCCCCACAGCTGCAGGAGAGGAGAATCACCCCCCAGACTCCCAAGCCCAGCCCTGCTCCAGAGGGATCCCCTCTGCTCCCTGCCCTCCCACCAGCCTGCAGCCACGAGGAAGAGGAGGGGATGAGGCTGCCTGGATCCCAGTTCTGAAGAGAGGCAGGATTCCTGGGGCAGCAGGAGTCACCCTGACCCCCTAAGCAGCAGAGGGGCTGGCAACACCCCATCTCTTGCCATCTCCCCAAAAAGCTGGAAGCAAGAGGGTGGAGGGGGAGCAGCAAGGATCCACCACCCTCACCAGAACCTCTCTGGGCCCTGTGGCAGCTCCAGAGGAAGCTGTTTGGATGTTAATCAGACCTGCAGGAGACCCTTTGGGGCACCCACTAAGGGCTGGCCCAGACACTGGGAGAAGTTTTGAACAGAGAGTGGAGGCAGCTGGTTCCCAACACACCTGAAGAGCTCCAAATCCTGCCTGGGATCATGGTAAAGTGCTGATTTAAGTTGTGGCAGAGAACCAGAGATTGTCCTGACACAAGAACCTCAGGAAAAGTGAAAGGGAACATCCTGTGTAAGCAGGATTGGGATGGAAAGTGGCTCCTTTTAAACTCAGATTTGGAAAAAAAATGCCATTCCAGAAGTTGGCAAGTAAAGGCTTCAAGAAGAGAGATGAAAACAGGATGGGTGAGACTTCCAGCACCCCAGAGAAGGGTTAGATGGGAGAGATGTTGGAGAGCTATTAATGAGCCTCGTGCTGTGAGAGGGGGTGCCAAAAACCCCCCCTGTTGATTTGGGATGGAAAGAAGAGAGTGAAACCCCCTCAGATCACAGAGCCCCACGTGAAGCTGCTGGGAGCACCCAGGCTGCAGCTGAAAACCTGAAGTTGCTGGGGAGGACCCAGTGAAACCCCAGCAGAAGGGGAGTAGAAAAGACCACGGAGAGATGGAGCCTTGGGAAGTTTTTCTGCTAGCATGAAGGAAATCAGAAGCTTTCCTTGTGGCCACCACCTGAGGTGGTGAAGAAAAGAACTGGAAGGTAAAGGCTCACACACTTCATCAGGAAGAAAAAAGTCTTTTCTCTTGAACTTGAAGGATTATGAGATGCACCTCTCTGGAAGAGGACAGTGTGACAATACCAGTGCTGCCTCCACGGCCTCTGAACCAGCAGGAGAAAACAAACAACCAACAACAACAACAAAAAGAGGCAATTAATAATCAATAATCACCTTCAGCTCTCGCTTTCGGTTCCGGTCGCTGTTGGATTTGGAGTGTCTGGAGCTTCTCCCTTCCTCCACTGCCTCAAAGAGCTTGTCCACAAAACGCAGGGTGGAGTCGTCCAGGAAGGGTTTGAGGTGATCTGGGAAACAGAGAAGGAGGGGTGGGAATCCCAAATTTCCCTGCTTGGGATGAGGGGGATAAAGGGAGGATTCCAAGAGAGGCCCAGGGAGCTGTGAGAAGCTGATGGAAGATCTGACCCCACTCAGCTCTGCAGGATTCAGCAAGCCCAAGTCTCAGTGAGGGGAAAAAATCAGGGTATTAATGTTAAAAAAACCACAATTAAATCATCATTTTCAATTCCTTTGGAAAAAGGGGCTTGAAAATAATCTTTACCCCCTCCAGTTTTGTAAGAGGCCCAGGGAGCTGTGAGAAGCTGATGGAAGAGTGGATCTGACCCCACTCAGCTCTGCAGGATTCAGCAAGCCCAAGTCTCAGTGAGGGGAAAAATCAGGGTATTAATATTAAAAAAACCACAATTAAATAATTTTCAATTCCTTTGGAAAAAGAGGCTTGAAAATAATCTCTACCCATGTGAGTTTTGTAACATATTCCAAGGGTTGGGTGGGGAGAGACCTTGGAGCTCCTGGAGCCCACCCTGAGCCGTGTCCCCCACCCGGGGTGGGGACTCCTCCACCACTCCCCAGGCTTCCAGGAAGTTTAAAATCAGACTTGAGGCTATTGAGGGATTTTTTTCTACCCTTATTTCCCCTGCCCAGGAGAGGGCTGGAGCCCTGTGGGGAACATACCAGCAGCTTTCTTTTTGTCCATGCCCTTCCCCACGCAGTTGAGGGCTGCGGTGACCACGGTGGGCTCTGAGAAGCCCAGGACTCTTTTCACTGTCTTCTCAATCCAGGGCTTCAGCTCGTCCAGTTCCCTCTTGGAGAGCGACATCTTGGCCAGGAGCTGAATCCAATGATTCCCTTTGTACCTCTAAAAACCAAAAAAAGACAAAACCACAGACTAGTAAAATAAATCTTTAGCTTATCGTCACCTCGGCGCTGCTGGAAAGTCTCAGAGATGATTTTTCCTCCCTCTTTTTTAAAGCACAACCTAAAATTTGCTCCTTTTGGGGCTGCTGAGCCCATCACTAACACGTCTCAAGTCTGCACTTGATGATTTCAGAAGCCAAATTGTAACAGGAGCAGCAAAACCCTTCAAAGGAGGGGTGGAAAATCCTCACCCTTCATTAACCTCTTCCCCGTGAGCTTCACAAACTCCTCTGGACACATTTCTGCTTTGGTGGCATGGAAAAACTCCCCCTGTGTGACCAGCTGCCCCTGGGACCACCCCTCAAATCCATGTTGAAGCCCAAATCACCACTTTTTTTACAGCAAAATTTGCTGGCTGTTAAGCATCACAGCTTCTCACCCAGCCAGTCCCAGGCTGAGGATTCAAGAACATTTAATTCCAGGCTCTAAGCTGATTTGGAAACCAAAGTTCCTTTATCTGGACCCGGGAGAAAATCTTCTTAAGGTGCTGCCTTCGACCTCAGTGGGGCCTGAGGAGCCTCCACGTTACCCTGGGGCTGTTTCAACAGCAGCCCCAAAATGGAGCCTGAGGCAGCCAGAGAGTAGAAATAATTAATTACTCATCATTTCGTGCACCGTTAAGGACAGAACTCATCTAATTAGTGCTTCTTTTAACCTCTCTATCGACCTTAAGCTTCTGGGATCTAACGAGGACCGACAGAAGAGCACAACAGGTTCAACAGAGCTTCACCAGGGCTGGGCTGTGTCCGGAGGGAACGGCTCCAGCAGCTCCTGGGGGGACTCCCGGGCACGCCGGGGCGGCCGTGAGGAGCCCACCGGGGCAGCGCCACCCCCGGGAGGTTCGAAACCTGCGGATCTA